AGAATTGATAGTACTGTAACCTTGATTTTTTGATTTTTACGTTGTACACACATTTCTCAATGGGATAGCTGGTCTAAATGCGTCATTTGAAAAAAAATGGTTAGCGAAATTGACATAAGTTAGAAACTACAGTAACCATCGTATAAAGCCTGAAATAAAGCCTCAGATATTAATTTTTTGATCTGAAAATATTTTTCTCAGGCTAGTCTATTAATGGGTGAGGCGTGGCAATCAATGGTACCGTTTGAAAATTCATCATCTCTATTTTGGTCTTACAGTAACCGAACATAGCAACTTTGAACGCGTATATCTCAAAAACTTACATTTTTATTTTGGATTTTTTGGTCTTATTTTACGGAGAGTGTGTCCAACCTTTATAATCAAGCTTAAAAACTGGTTACACTTTTCCCAATTTTTGGCAGTAATCGATATGGTATGTTGAGGGTTACGGTACTACCAAAAGATGAAGAGATACAAAAAACATTTCAATTAGGAAAATGATGGCCATGGTCGAAAACATCCAGTCGGTAAGTTTCATCCGCAACGCTCCATCCCTCAGCCCATCACAATAGGAACTTTACAAAACACAAAATGTTACAGTAATCCTCGAATAATGCAAATTTCGCAAAAACGTTTGACACTTTCGGTGTACGCCCTGTGGGTCTTCTATGAGCCAAATTTGAAGAAATTCGGTGATGGTCACCGCAACAATGTCCGGGCCATGCTTCACTTTGTAAAAAAATCCGTTTTAAAACGGTTAATTTAAAATTAAATTATTTTTACACTCACGAAAGATAAAATCGTGAATGTAAAAATTTTCCAAGGCATTAAAAATTAATAGAAACTAAGCCCTCATGTATAATATAAAGACTAAATTTAACCTGAAATTTTGGATGGAAATTACACCTTCCGACAAATGGGAAGCTGAAATCTATTTTCTTTTTCAACCCACAAATTAAATTGTCATCCTAAGATTACAGTTCCCGGTTGACGCAACGGAAAACACGCACTCTAAAAAGTACATACAAATTATTTAAAATTGCCGAGGCTTTTACTTTAATAGTACGTATACATAGAGAGTGCCAAATTAATATTAGGACGCAAAGATTTTTGGAACAGCCGCATGACGCTATGGTAATGTGACTTTGTGAGACATGATAAGAAACTTTTGTCGGTGTTTCCCGGAATTTGTCGCATAAAAATTCGCCGATTACAATACTACCAGTCTGTCGGGAAAAGCATGAGCTCACTGTCGCAGTAAAAATTGAATCACTACCAAGAAAATGAGTTGTATCGCGGAAAAATCAAATGGCTTTCCACTTCAGCATAGAACGTCAAACTGAGGAGCCCGATGACCAGAATAGTCCTTTAGTTATCGGCTTTTTGCACTTCGTCTTGATTTTGCAGTGAAGAAAGAGAAAAGACGCGCAAAAACGTACTCTCTCGTCCCAAAAATTTCCCATTTTTTACAGGACAGAAGGACTTTTCGCGTCCTTTTTTGGCAAATTGCCACATTGATAAAATCTTGATCAGGAAATAGCCTCCACTGCGCTGGATTGACGTGTGACGAAGGCTCAACGTGCATGCAAAACTTCCAGAAAATCTGGGCGCACGCTTGATTTCCTTCCTTGTCAAAAAAACCGACGTTTTTTAAACACTAAAAACCCATCTCCAAAAAAAGATTACCCTTTTACCATGCCAAAAAATTACGAATGTCTTTGTTCGGGAATGGAACGGAAGGACACCTATCTTTAATCTCACCGAAATTTATCTTTGGAATTCTAAGAAACGAAGGGTTTCAGAGCAAACAAAGTTATCCCAGTCTCCGTATAGTGGAATTACATATAATTCCGGCGAAGACTCGACGACATTTTCAGCTGTAATTCCCCCCATAATGTTCACATCCGAATGCAAACCTGTCTACGTATCTAATCCTTTCCGATTAGGGTTTTTGTTCGATTACACGCGGGAATCTTGGAATTGCATTGTGAAAAAGAGAACATATTTTGCGTGGAAAGGGCAGTAAAAAGCGGAAATCTCTGTCTTGGGACCGTAATTTGGTTGTAAATATTTTTGCCATGTAAACAAATGTAATTTTTGGTGTAATCGGAAGCATTCGGCGGGAAAAAATATATAAAAGGATGTAGGGGATTCTGGATTAAATATTATAAGCAATAATATTATAATTTCGATGACTCTTGAAGTTGAACAAAAAAAATAAAAAAAAGTTTCTTTTTCAAATTTTGCCCATATCAGTCTGTCGGGAAAATAATGAACACAATTTTTTCGCACTCAAAATCGCATTGCCGTCAAGAAAATGAATTGTGTGGCGAAAAAAATAAAGTTGGTTTTTACTTCAGCGACAATGCTCCCATTATTTTCCCGACAAACTATGTATTATAATAACAAGTCTAGTAGGTGCCTCTATCCTTGAAGGTTTTAGCAGTGTTTTGCAGGGAGAGCCAGGAAATTCATGGATTTTAAAGACAAGAGAATGCGCAAAATTAGAGAGAGCTGTCAGAGAAAAAGAGAAAGGATGTTTTTTGGCCATATATCCTAGCGAACTTCGCGTAGAAAAAATATGATTTTTTATGCTTAAACATTACCCTCTACAGTCCACATAGACTTGTGACGGTTCATAAAAAAAAATGAAAAAAGTGCCGCATTTTGACGTGTTTTGACGTTTTGTCAACCCCCGTAAACTAAAGCCCCCCGAAACTGCCGGTAATTTTTTAATTTCATAAGCCTAATAGCTTTGCAAATAAAACAAGCTAGAGTTAATCAAATTGCAATCATAATGAAATAAAGGCTACGTCGAGAAGATGCATGCCTACAAGGGCCTGGCATAGCCGTAGAATGGCCGGCGGAAGCTCGGCGAAGGCTCGGCGAAGACTTGCAATATGTCCACTTTTTCTGATTTTAACTATTACTAACGTTAGTTTCCTTTTAGCTTGAAGTATTGTAGCATATAAAAGATAAAAATCTGCGGCAAAAAACGAAGATCCATAACTTTTATCTAGACATTATTGATGTCAGAACATATAAAATACTTAAAAATAGGTGATAAGCTATACTAGGACACGATAAATTTTATAATTCATGATTTCGACTAACTAAACCTTCTCCAAGCCTCTCGCATGCATCCAACAAAAAAATTAACTCAAATATCGTTGACCCAAACTGTCGTTGACCCGAAAAATGCCAAAAATTTCAAAGAAAAAATGTTAAAAATTCAAAGGAGCCGAAACGCCAGCCGTTTTTCCCTCACTTTTCTCGGAAAAATTCAAATTAACTTGTGTATTATGGCACCCACATGCGCCGCGCTCTCACGTGGAAATAATTCATTGTCCTGGCCGTTCAAACATTATGCCCGGCGGGCTAATAGGCCGAGAACGGAGAATTAATTAGGACTTCGCGGAAAGGACAGACATTTTCGCCAATTTACAAATGGAAACAGCGAATTCGAGAGCGGGATTCGCGGAGCGCACCGGGTCGGGCGGCATAAATTAGGCGACGTGATTGGCCCGAGAATCAATGTTTCGAGGAAATGTGGGGTGGTGTTTACGGAGATATTGCAAGAATTGTTTAAAAAAACAGTGGTTTATCAGGCTGTCGGGAAAATAATGGGCACTGTGCCGTATTGGTCATGTAGTGTTGAAATACAGTAAAAATTAGAAAAATGAGAAGAACTATGGACGAAAATGAAAAATATCAGGCTGTCGGGAAAATAATGAGGAATGCTTGTATCGAAAATAGCATCGCCGCCGAGAAAATGAATTTTGTCGCGGAAAAATCAAATTGCTTTCCGATTCAACGACGCAATCGGCACAGCGACATTGAGCTCATTATTTTCCCGACAGACGGGTAAAATATCAAAAAAAGCCAAAAAAAAAGTTTTCTAGGTCTAAAAGCTTGCTATACGAAGTTTTGGCGACATAAGACACGCTTAAGTTCGTAAGCGGTTAATGAAATCAATGACCACTTTGGATTACATGTATGACGAAGAAATTGCATTTTTTTAGTGGATAGAAATTCGCAGAGGAGAGGTGCTGAGAATTTGCTGAACTTGGAACAAATTTAGAAACGAGGTAGCCCAAGTGCGACGCACAGATTTTCTCCAAATTTTTCACACACTTCTGGAATAAGCCACATATCAATTGCTGAAAGTTCTAGCTTGCGCTTTGCAAGGGAAGTCGACATATTCATCTTTTTAGCAAAAAATAAAAAAAAAAAATAATAAAAATAAAATAAATAACTTTGCGGGCTAGCAGACTACGCGAAATGCGGAGAGTGACAGAGAAAAATACTTTTTAGCCATTTCTGTGCCAGTTTCCTGCGGAAAAAAATGATTTTTTGTGGAAAAATCATTCTCTGGGAGAGAAATAGGCATGAAACATTTCATCATGGAACATTACATTTCATAAAAAACTTGGCAAAAAAGTGTTATAGCACATTTTTGCCAACTTTTGATCCAAAACCCTTGGTGGTTTACGCAAATCGTGAGTTAGAAGAAAGGTTACGCTTTACGGTGGAACCTTTTGAAGTCAACCTTGGCAATTTTAGCTCGCGTTTTGCAGGGGTAGCCGAGATATTCAACAATCTTTTCCGCCAAGGAAGAACACGAAACGGGGATGACATTTTTCTCGAAAAACTTTTTCTCTGGGAAATTTTTCTTTTGTGGCTCGATAATTCGACGACATTTCGTAAAAAATCAATGATCCTAGATCCCTTGTTTTTCTCTTTTTTGGCGGTCAGAGAAAAAACCACATTTATACCGTATCCTACAGTATTCCAATCTACCATATTGATGTTGAGGATTCTCTTTATTCAGTGAATATTTGTAATACACAGTTGGAGTAGGGGACAAGATATGAGTGAATGTACAATTTCAGCAAATAGTTTTTGTTTTCAATAAGGTATTTGTGATAGACGGTGTAAAATGGAGGATTACATAACAACCTAACATCCCAAAAAGAAAAATAATTTACAAATTCATGGAGTTAAAGCGTCCGCGACAAGCCGGTCGTCGCAATGAAGTCGGCGCTTTGCAACACGGCCGGATCAATGTTCCGCGGCAGAATCGGGGTGTTCGGCACGTCCGGAAGGGCATTCGGATCGTCCAGGTTGTAGAACAACTCGGTGGCGTGGATCTCCTTGGTGAGTTTGTCGAAGTCGATGATGTTGAAGAAGGCGCTGAGCTCCACACGCTCGTTCATTTTACTCGTCAGGTACTGAAAGGAGAATAAGTGAGTGAAAGTGTCGTGAAAGCTTGAAGAAAATTCAAAGTATAACCAATTTATGTACGATTTATTTTCTTCCTCAAAAATATCCGGTTTACTGTGGTATCTTGCACGTTTTTTTTTAATTTTGCGGACACACCATGAGTCACATTTACATGCCTGAAAGTTTTAGCTGGCGCTTTGCAACAACAGCCAAATTTTTGAATGATCTTTGAGGCGGAGAGTGTGTGCAAAAGACGGAAAGTGTCTTTGCCAGTTTCAAGCGGAAAAAATTGTTTTTTATGAAAACATGACTCTTTACGGTAGGAATAGGCTAGAAACTTTTAGGCGCGCTTTTGAAATCGGAGTTTTTTCACTTGGAGAAGGTAGTATTTTGCTGCATTTTTCGATACTTCCCGGGTACGAAATGATACTATTTTTGCTACTGGGGGATGTTTCACGTTCAAAAAGGGCACTAACTCGAGTTAGCGGCATCACAGAAAAAGCGGAGAAAGCAGAGAAAAAGAGGAGTGGTAACTCGAGTGACCTGACTTTTTACCGACTTTGGCCGCACATTTTGGGCCATAACTTTTGATACAGTGGGCCAATTTGCGCCCTTCCAAAAAAATATTAATGCTGGTGGTACACAGAATAGATGGATATAAATTTGTAAATTTTTCTTCTAAATTATGCAAATTATATGCAATTTTTTTTTCTTGGTATCTTAAAGCTCGTCTTTTTTTAAAATCTTTACATGGACATGTTTGTTACGCTCTCAGCATCGAAGGGTTTTTTGAAGGGTGTAAATTGGTATACTGTATCAGGAGTAATAGCCCGCGCAACAGTGGGCGAGAATCTTTTGGTCATAACTTTTGTCACAGTAAACCAATTTGCAAATTTTTAAGAAAGTTTTAAAGCTGGAACCACGCTGCATATGATGGTATCAAAATTTTTTTCCGTATCTTGCATCTTAAATACCAAGAGAAAAATTTGCATATGATTTGCATAATTTTAAAGGAAAATTTACAAATTTATATGTGTATATTCTGTGTACCGCCAGCATTAATATTTTTTTGGAAGGGCGTAAATTGATCCACTGTATCAAAAGTTATGGCCTAAAATGTCCGGCCAAGTCCATAAAAAGTCGCCCGATTCGCCAATCAAAAAGAAGAGGGATCACTCAAGTTACCACTCCTCTTTTTCTCTGCTCTCTCCTCTTTTTGCGTGATGCCGCTAACTCAAGTTAGTGCCCTTTTGTACGTGAAACATCCCCCTGAGTTCTCTACTGTAGTGCTCACAGTAAATTGCGCTGTGGAAAGCGCACGGCACGGCAAACAAGCGAGCGTGTTCTGCACCGTGCGAAAAGACAAAAATGCACAGTGCAATGAATCCGCTTGCACGGTGCAAAAAACTCCAACCAATAATTGCGCCAACAAGTGAAATTGGTTTTACAAAACCCTCTGCAGAATCCAAATCCTCACCAGAATCGAATGGATGACATTCAGCAGGTTGGCGAACCTCTCCAAAGCCTCAAAATGATCCTCCACCTTGGACTTGATATAGGCATCCAGCGCCAAAGTATATCGTTGTTTGTGGTCCTCCAATTCTTCTCGCGTTTTGTCCGAGACGAAGAACTCTGAAAGAGAATTTTTTTGGTTCCCGCAAAGCGATGATCGACCTACCATCGCGGAAAAATGTGATCATTTTTATGAGGACGTATTCGACCAGGTCCATTTTGAGCTGTCGCATCGGGAGGATCATGTCGTTGACGAAGAAGGGAAGGAGGTTTGCGTAGAAGGTTTTGATTCTGTAAAGAAAAATTTTCATTTTAAATATCAATCTGTCGGGAAAATAATGTGGATTTGTCACGCTTGGAATCTCATATCATCGCTGCGCGACGGCTCTACGGCTGCAGATTTGGCGCGCGACTGCGGTGAGGTAAGGCGGTTTCTCTGCGACAAATCCATGTTATTTTCCCGACAGAGAGAGATAGCATCCATTACTTCGAATAATTTGTCCATTTCAGCGCAGAAAATAGCAAAAGAATCGCTGATAAGCTATTATTTTTCTTTGTTGAAAAAAAAATTCTTCTTGATTTTCGGTATCCGCATCTCGGTCATTTTTTTTGCAAAGCACTGGCTAAAATTCTCACCTAACTTGTATCAATCTGTCGGAAAAATAATGAGCACAATGTCGCTGCGACAATCGCACCGCTAAAGTAAATGCAATTTGATTTTCCCGCAACACAATCCATTTTCTCGGCAGCGATTTTCGATGCGACAGAGTGCTCATTATTTTCCCGACAGACTGATAAACACGCCTAATCCAAATTAGTAACTATTCCAGTCTCCAACTTTCCCCCCCAACCTACGTTTCGTCGGCCTCGTCGGCCCGTTGATCCTGTTCGGCCGGATGATACACTCCATTCGGCGAGCAAAACCCGATTTTGTCGGTGAGTGAGGTATAATAGGCGTGCATCAGCCAGATCATATTTACAACGCGGCGTTTCGCCAAAGCCACTTGGTCTTTGACGGGGAGGCGTTTGAACTCCGGCATGGCTTTGCAGAAGTCAATGTAGAAGGTGAAGTGTCGACGCCAGCCGTCCAGCAAGTCGGCCACATTCATCACCGTATCGCCATTGAAGTTTAGCTAAAAAATTATTCAAAATTAAATGGAAGATATCATCGTCAAAAGCAAATCTTTTATTGGGTACTCTAGAGTTTGAGATGGACTCTAAAATCAGTTGATTTCCATCTGGAAATCTAATTTTTTCCCCTCAAATTTACTACAGTATTGCCCCTGAACCCTACCGGATATCGATTGCAGACCAGCTCGGGATTGGCGAACGCCTCTTCGAAGGTTGTCACCATCGCTCCGTTCGCTCTGGCTCTAGTCCCACTCTCTGTTTGTTGCCAAGTCTCCTGTTCCAGCAAGACGGCTCGAATTATCAGCTGTTTCAGGTCCTCTCTCATCCGCTGAGCTCTGGGGGTGTCCAAGATTTTTCGTGGATCAAAGCCTCCACGACTCGCGCTTTGGTTGAAATGATCGTTGGTGAGGGAGGTCTAAAAAGGCGGGTTTAAAATACGATCGCTTCCATTCAGACTTTAGAACAGATGCAAGGGAGAAAAGGGATGCATACTAACAAGGGAGGTACACCCCAAGTGCAACGCTCAGATTTTGATGAAACTTGGCACAAATTTAGAATATTTTTTTCTAAAAAATATGCGAGAATCCTAGCTCGGGCTTTGCAGAAACAGCCGATATTTTTTGATCAAAAGTTGGCGAAAATTTGACACTTTTTGCTCAATTTCGAAAAAAATTTTGATGCCTATTTCTACCATAGAGGGTAATGTTCCACAAAAAATAAAATTTTTCCGCACGAAACAAGAAAAGTTATGATCAAAAAGTGTTTTTCTCGCACTTCGCTTTTAGCGTACTCTCGATCTTTCAATATCTTGGCGGCGCTTGCAAAGCGAGAGCTAAAACTTTCAGGAATTGGTATTTAGTTCATGACCGACGTGTGTACAAAATTTAAGAACTCCAGTTTCTATATGTGAAATAAAACCACTGGAAATTTATTAAGAGAAAAGCTATGATTATTATTTTGAGAAAAGTTATGATTATTAAAATTATGGGCAAAAAATATGCAATATTTTCCCGACAAATAGCTAAAATACTTCTTAGCCTACCCACCCCTTCAATATTACCTCCACAAAAAGATTTACCTGTGTATCCGCATCCACGGCCCTTTTCTTCTCCCGCTCGCGATGCTGTCGTGTGCTCACGTCCAGGTTCGTGTAGGTGGCTCGCATCTTGGCGATCCACTCGGTGCACTGGGGGTCGACCACCCCGTTCTCGGCGTCACGCTCCATTTGGACGGCCTCCGGGTTCATGCCCACCTGGAAGCAGCGGCGCAGCCGGCACGCCCGACAGACGTTCCGTGTGTCTGAAAATACCAATTTGTTGGCATTTCGATTGTTGAACTCGGGGGTGCAAAGAGAAAAAAAGACGGAGGCAAGTTAATTATAGGACTAACGGGTACGTTTTTGTTGGTTGCAAAGAAAAAACTAATATTTCTATAAATGTGTTATAGGCACCAAGAGAAATGGAGGCTGAATTGAGTGCATGGCCTTTGAAGGCAAAGACAAGTTCAAAGCTCGGGTTTTGGTGCAGATTAGCGCAAATTCCCTCTAATTGCAAGGCTTATCAACAAGTTCTGCTGGCATTTCGCAAAAACACACAAAATTTCGAGATCGATAAACCCCAAAAATCATCATTTTACCAGTTTGTCGGGAAAATAATGAGCTCTCTGACGCATCGAAAATCGCATCGCTAGAAAAATAAAATGTGTTGCGGAAAAATCGAATTGTCTTTATTTCACTTCAACAACGCAATCGGTCCTTCATTATTTTCCAGACACACTGAGACTTTGATCCTTGGACTTGAAATGTATGTAAGTACTTTTTTAAAAAAAATGTTTTGGACCGCAAACGAGCCAATAAGCAGCCTCATAAAGGGGATCTATAAGGAGCTTCAAATGAAGCGTAACGTTGCTTCTAACAAGGGATCGGCAAATAGTTGCACCCTGCTTTCTTAACGAAACATGTATCATTTGAAAGAGCAATAAAAATAGTGTACAATGCAAAAAAAATTAGCTGCCCAATATATGTTTGGGCAAAGTTACGGCCGTTTTATGAAAGGGGTCATATGCGGCCAAAACGCCGGTTTCTTATATTACAGTAATCCTAGCGGCCTAAATCGTTTTCATTGATTCCTTAGCATCCCAAAACGTCTATCACGAACGTTTTCTGGATTTACCATTCCTCGGTTATGAGTTATTAGAAATTACTGCTAGTTACAAAAAATTGTAAATAAAACTAGGTTAATGGGAAAATTGGAGAAAAAAGCCTTGTAAATACATTTATATGATCATCGTGGTCATTCACAAACAAAAATCTCAAAATCAAAAATTTTGTATGTCCTAGCCTTACCAACGATTAGTCCGCTATGATAGCGTTTTTAGCCGATTTTGCAATTTTCTCTCGGTATTTTTTCGAAAAAATTTATTTATATGTCCTTGTAAATTGAATTATCGTCCAGTAATTATAATCGTTCAGGCTACTGGCATGACACCCTTGTAATTATACGATAGTGGCAACCCCACTCTCATCACCATCAAATTTGTGGTCGTTTCGAAAAAAGCCAAAAACTCCCAAAAATTTCGTAAATATGGATTTTGTCTGTGAAGGAACAAAAATTGTTTAAAAATGTCAACATACCATGGTTCTATGGTACATAAAAGACGAAATGCGAAAAGTTTACAACGGCCGGATTCGAACCCTAGACTTGTTGCGCCGGAAGTAGGCTCACTACCACTCAGCCAACTGCACACAACTCCGTTGCTCTTCGAAGAGCTTATAAAGTGAGGCGGAAATTAGGCTAGAATCTGTGTTTTGGCCATAACTTTGCCCAAACATATATTGGGCAGCTAATTTTTTTTGCGCTGTGTACTATTTTTAACACTCTTTCAAATGATATAGGTTTTGTTAAGAAAGCAGGGTGCAACTATTTGCCGATCCCTTGTAAGGGCAACTACAATCTAAGATTGACAATCGCAGACAAGCTTTGTTTTAGAAGGTGTTGTTGTAGGCTGTACGAAAAAAATTCTTGATCAATAAGACTCGACAAAATGGGATCAAAATACTCGTTTTTCCAGAAAGACTAGTATTTTGGGCACTTGAAAATCTTGGCTGTTCTTGGAAAGCGTGAGCTAAAGCTCTCAATACTTGATTTTCTGCCAAGAAAGACACTTCGAAAAATAAATGTCTAGCAAATAATTTAGTCCAAAATGCCTCTTACTCACCGAATACAAAATGAAACTCCACATTAAGCATTCCCCCATTAGGTCTAATTTATTAATAACGAGCGCACCAGGAGCATTTCATGCGAAAATGAAAGGGCCCTGGGGGCTTCCGGACCCTCGCGAAAAAGGTTCAAGGTTCATACATTCGACATGCGAATGAACATGGAGACGAATTGTCGTTATGGCGCCGTTCTTAAACTATTTGACGCCCAAAATAGGTCTTTCTATGTAGTTCGAAATATATGTAAAATGCAGCGTCATTTAGGAAGGAAAGGTGTTAAAAAAATGGCATTTTTAGACAGCTGGAAAAAGGGGATGACAATAAACCTTTGAGTTTACAGTGTGGGACGGGTGATATAAAGGCCTAAATAAACCTGTTTGGAATGAAGGAGCGAGAAAAATTTGTGACAAAAGTTGGGTGATGAAGTTGTGAAAGTCATTTTGAGCACATTCTTTACAATTTTTTATCTCTAAAAGCTCTATCTGCTCCTAACGAACGTCGTAAAGAAATTAGAAATGTCATAAAAAGAGTGCTTCTTACAATGTAAGTAATCGCTTTGTAGGGCACTCAAATTTTCTTAAAATTTTGCATGAAAGTTCTGGCCTAACCACGTATGTATCCTCTCAGTTTTAGAGCGTACTTTCCAGAAACAGCCAAGATTTTAACCGGGCCAAAATTTTTTTAGGGATCACGCAAAATGAGGAGAATCAAAGAGACGAGAAATGTTTCTGGCTTCTAATTTTTTGATTTCCGCATAGAAAAATATAATTTTTTATACAAAAAATCGTACGCCCCCGCAATAGTAAATCAGCCTGGAATTTGCAAACCAAGAATCGCAAAAAACGGAGATTTTTTGAAGACTTCCAATCGAAAAATGTCGATGAAAGGCATGGTAGGAATCTCGCATAAAACAAATCAGTCTGTCGGGAAAATAATGCGCATTCTGTCGCATTGAAAATCGCATCGCTGCCAAGAAAGTGAATTTTCTCGCGACAAAATCAAGTTACTTTTCACTTCAACGATTGAAAATCTGAGCCGATTTTCATCCAGCTCTATATACCACACGCTGAATACTTCCCTTATTCGCCTCTCTATCGCCTTCCAAATCAATTTCCTTGCCCAAAATCTTCAAAAACTCAGCTCCCAAATTGCCCATCTTATCACCAGGCAATTTCTGCAAACCCCCCAACCCCAGCCCGCAATGAATTTCCATTCTTCTTTTTCTCTGCCCAAAAACAACATTGACTTCATTACGGGGGGAAGCCCGTGTGGCCAGTGAAGGCCAAGTTATCAAAGTGCACGAGAGGCGAGAGAAATGGGGAAGAATGTAATCCGGTGTTGGGTGCAGACATTCGGGCCGTGTTGAGCCCGCTGGACCGGTTCTACAGCGGGGCCTGTAATTCTCTCATGTCGTAATTAATCTGGTTTCGGACGAACCTTGTAGTATGGGGGTGTGCTGCAGGGACACGCCGAAAAAAAGAGGAAATAAGAGGGAACGGTAATTGTGGGAGACCAACGATTAAAAGTGATGGTATACTATCAGTCTGTCGGGAAAATAATGTGGATTTCTCGCGCCTTGGATTCGTCGATCATCGCTTTGCGACGGCGGCCGCAGCTGGAGATTTGGTGCGCGATAGCGACGAGGCAGGACGTTTTGCTGCGGCGACCCGCACCTTGCGTACTGACTAGTATACAGTAAGCTTACAAGGGACCTGTTCAAAGTGAGACTCGCAGGTTTTTTTAATTTTGCATAAAGATTACGCATATGTGTAATATCAATTTTTCAAAATTTTGACTCATGCTTTTTGGGGCTGAGAGAGTACGCGAAACGCGGAGAGAGAAAAACTGTTTTTGGCCTTACTTTTGCCAGCCTTGCGTGGAACACAATGATTTATTGCTGAATCATTACCATCCTGTCCCCCATCTCAATTCTTCAAAATTCTAGCTCACACTTTGCCTGCGCGGCGGAGATTTTCATCCACGGCCGAGAAAGCATGCGAAACGCGGAGGGTCAAAGAGAAAATCATTTTTTGCCCATTTCTTTGCAACTCTAGGAAGAACAACGAAAAAAAAACGTTTTTCCGGGGCCTTCAAAAACTTAATATTCTTCAACAACAAGAATATCAGTATGTCGAGAAAATAGTGTGGATTTGTCACGCCTCTGAATCGCCCATCATCGCTCTGCGACGGCTAGCCACGGCTGGGGATTTGGTGCGTGACTGCGGCGAGGTTTTTTCTCTGCCAAATCCACATAATTTTGCCGAAAGAAAAACTAATTCTAGAATGTTCTGTATTACCCCCACTAGATTTGTTTTATAGCAAATTTTCAATTTTAATGAAAATTTAATTATAAGCAGTGAAAAAAATCGTAGACATACCTTTCCGGACTTCGCAGTCATGCCCAAACCGGCAAATGTATTGGCGGCGGCTCCACACACTCCGACGGAAAAAGCCTTTGCATCTGAAACGTGCAATTAGTCATCGTGGCAGCAGGTACATCGAGTTGACAGGGGTTTTGTAGTTTTAATTGTGAATGTTTTGTACTAATTGTAGTGTATTTCATCAATATACGTATATCATATAAAATTGTCCTAACTGGAATAACCGTATTTTACCCCAAATCTTCCGTCTCTCAAATTTTATTTTTTAGATAAAATTGACATACCCGTTGCAGCAGACGGCTCCATAATGATTTCCAAACGCCACATCGCCACAAACCACGCAGAATCTTGGCGCACTGCGGTCTGAAAAAAAATCGCAAAAATATCACATACATAGGTCTAAAAAAGTTATGAATCTTGAAATTTCAGGCGGCTTTTAGATTGTAAGGGAATTTTTTCTACAACGAAGGACTCACGAAATTCAGAGACAATAACCCGGACGTTCGAAAGAGAGAGGGATGACCAGCGAAGGGTCCCAAGTGCGAGGCTCAGGTCTTTTTTTTTTTGATTTTGATACATTTCAGGCCACATATCAATTCCGTAAAGTTTTAGCCTGCGTTTTGCAGGAACAGCCGAGATATTCAACGGCCTTTGGAAGCGATAGAGTATGCGGAATGCGGAGAGCGGTAAAAGAAAAACACTTTTTGACCATATCTTTTTTAGCTCCGCCAGAGAGATTTGAGTTTACGTGGAAAAATTTCCATCTACGGTAGAAATAGCTAAGAAACTTTTAATGGAAAAATTCGGAAAAACCTTGGGGGATGATACAGAGTGTTTCATATATAATAAAACAAAATGGGAGAGTCTGAGGATTCAGAGAAAAAAGAATTCTGCCACTTGGTCAAAAAATAAAGAAGTTATAGGCAATTCAAATCTTGCCAAAAAGATGCCCCACCCTGAAGAATTTTGTCCTAGAATTTGAGTCGAATTTGGCCAAAATATAAGCGTCGCACGTCAAAAAGAATTTTTCAGAAAGGCGACAAGGAAATCTTGGATCATTGATTTTTTGCGAAGTGCCACAGAAATGAAAAACAAAATTATTTTTCTTTTCGAAAAAACATTTTTCTCAAAAACAACCTTTTCTCTTTGAAAGTTTTCTTCTGTGACTCGATAATTCAGCGACATTTCGTCAAAAATCAACGATCCGAGATTCCTTGTTTTTTCACTTTTTTTGACGTGTGCCGCACTTTGAACAGTCTCACTACAGTGGACGACCTCATTCAGTGGCAAAAAACGGGCCATTTTGCATCCGGGAAGTATCAAAAATATGGCAAAATATCTCCCTTTCCAAGTGAAAAAACTCACATTTCAAAAGCGCGCCCGCTCTTTTTGTGAGAAGAAAGGGCGCGCCCTTCAAAACAAAGTTTTTTTACTTGGAGAGAGAAGCATTTTGCCACATTTTTGATACTTCCCGGATGCAAAATAGTGCCTTTTTTGCCGCTGGATCAGGTCCCCCACTGTATGTTATCCCTAAACCTTCAAAAAAGCCAAACCCAACTCCCTTACCATCATTCTCCGAGCCGGGCGATCCGAAATTATTGTTATTCGACACACTGGACGGCTCGGACTTGTTCTCCTCCGTCTGCGGCGTCTTCACCTCCTGCTTGATGCCCATGCTGCTCAACAGCGGCGCGCCGCCGGACGAGGCCAACTGGTCGGCCATCATGCGGCTCATGGCCATCAGGGCTTTCAGATTGGTTTGGTTGTAGGGTGAGGCGGCGTCGAGCAGCGATTGCGGGCTCTGTTCGTCCGCCGAGGACGACGTTGCGGAAGTGGAGGCGGCGGCCGAATCCAGAAGCATATGCGTGTTAGTCATGTCCAGGCCGCCCCATTTCATTCCTGACGGTGAGGCGCTGCAAATGGAGGGTAAAATACGATGGATTGTGCTTAATTCAGCATATAGATCGAAAATTCTTTTTTGTCGAAAAATAGCTCGAAAAAATGTCAGATAGCTTTTGATGTCGCGGTTGAAATACATGTAGAATATAGCCCTGTAAGATTAGGAAAGGAGCTCAGCCAAGCTGGGCAGATTTCAAGCTTGCCGGGCGGCCCAGATCGACAAAATAATCATACTAACAAAAGAAAAAAATAAAATGTTAGTTTGTCGGAAAAATAATGAGGAAAATGTAGTTTAATGTAGATGTGCCGCTGAAGAGAAAAGCAATTTGATTTTGCCGCGGAAATATTCATTTTCTCTTCGACAATGCGATTTTCGATGCACCAGAGTGCTCATTATTTTCCCGACAGACTGATATTATGTAGAAGAAAATTTATGAAGAAAAGTTAAAACGTCTTGTCAGTTAATTAAAAGTGCATTTGAACCGTGATTTTTGCGCTTCGAGGCCTCGCAGACGTTTTTTGTTTGTGTCTCGACAACGAAATCAACTTTTAAAAAATCGAACATATTTAAGCAAGTTGTAAAATACGATCTTTTCAATTACGCGACCAATATTGCTTTGTTTTGAGAGCAAGAGAGAAAAAAATTGAGATTTTAGTGTCGGAAATTGGCCAAGAAATTATCACCTTCTGTATGTTGGAGCTGTTATGACTCAAGTAGCAGACGAAGGCGAAATTCAACAAGATTTGGCCAAAAAAACGCAACCACCCAACATTTGCCGATAAGAATTACTATTTTTCTATGGTAATCTACGTAATATGATGGAAATTTTACATCGGCAATCCCCTAGTGGTGATAAATACACGAATCTATTGAATTCAGCCACCGCTTTCAAAGTTATGGGAGTTTATTCTCAAAAAAATGGCTTCTGAGCCTTTAAAAATGCCTAGTTAACCTTATGGTAACAATTCAATCCACCTATACACCTGTAAAATGAATTCGCAACGTCTAACTGCCAAATCATTTCATTGAATTTCCTGTTGCAAGCAAATTTTGGCTGATTTCCAAACATGCCCGCAGAATTTCCGTGGTTCTTCTAGCTGCCCGCAAAGTCATTTCCCGCCATTGTAGGCCCACCTTTAAAACGACCCACAGCTATGTATAGGTATATTTCAAAGCACCTGACGTTTACACTCCGCTGTATGGGCTCTTGAAAGCAATGTCATCGCAAAAACATCAAAACAAAGTAATTATGACGGGATTCGTGGCCAGATTTCAATTTGGAAATCCCTCGAGTCTAAGCCACCGCGAAAACCCAGACAGGCATTTTATCAGACCTCCCTCATTCTCTCACCCATATTAATTCCAAATTTGTTATTCTCCTCGCAAAAACAACGATTACGCTCAAAAACAAACGCTCGTTTGGGCCGAAGATTATTGCTTACCATACGCATATTCGTATTTTTTTATTTCGGGAGCAAAACAGAAGCAAGATACGAATAAAAAGGGCTAAAGCAGCTAAGATATGGAGGGCATCGACCTGGTCTACATACATAAACATATTGCACCAACAGGAGAAATCCTCCATGTGCACCGCTAACAAGGGTAATAGCGAGTGTTGGCTAATATCTGAACAGTTTAATAAGGTCTTTCCTTTTTGATTATCGAGTGTTTGGGGAATTAAAAACAAATATGTTGGCTGACGTAAGGCTGGGGAGATGTTTGTGCACTTTGGGTTTACAGGTGAAGTACTCCAAGAGCGATGCTCAGGTCTTAATGAAACCTCGCATAGTTTTAGGCTGCATTTTTTCAAGATTTATGCTAGCTTTCTAGCTCAGGCTTTGCAGAGACGATCGAGATTTTTAGGCTTCAAATTGGTCAAAATGCGGCTTTTTTTGCAAATTTTGAGATTAAAAGTTTCATATTGCATTTTACCGTAGGGTGCAACATTTCCGCAAAAAAATCATTTTTCCTCCCAAAAATGGCAAAGATATGACAAAAAATGTTCAGATCTCTGACCGCACTCCACCTTCCGCGTACTCTCTCAGCCGCAAGAGATTTCTGAATATCTCTTTCTGAAAATCCTCTGAAAAGCAAGAAAATCTGAGCGTCACAATGTGGACCTCCCCGTAAGATTTTGCAATAACAATCGAAAAGTCGGTAAACCTTTTTCACGCTATTTACCTTTGGGAATGTAGGCTACAGAAGGGAGAGCAAAAAAAATAAATAAATTATGGGCCCGTGAGCAGCGGTTAAATTGCTTTGAGAATGGGCATGAACGCATGAGTTTCACGGGGAAACGAGAAATTTGAAAAGGGCTAAAGAGAAATAGCAATTCGGGGAAGAGTTTTGGAAACACGCTGTAGTTTTTGATTGTATGTAAAAGACGAACAGGACAAGGTTTGAAGACGGAGAAGGTTGCAGCTCTTTTCAACGGATGTCAAAAAGCGACAATTGCTACTACACTGGTCGACCAAATTTTCTTTCCACCTGTGGGACGCTGAGCCGAGAACCTCGAAATTCGGCATGGAAACGGACGCGCAGATTCTCTTCAAATCTTGCGCATACATTTGGCTGGGCCACACATAAATTCCCAGCAAATCTTAGCTTGCGCTTTGCTGCGTAGCCGAGCTATTTAGCTGTTTTTTTGCGCCGAGAGAATAAATGTTATGCGGAGAGCGGTCACGGAGAGAAACGCTTTTTGACCGTATTTTTTGCAGTTTCGTAAGGAAAAAATGGTTTTTTTATGGAAACATTACCGTCTACGGTGGGAATAGGCATGAAATTTTTTATGCTAAAAGTTGGCAAAAAGTGTAAAATTTTTGTTTTTCCGATTCAAAAATCTCAGTTGTTTCTGCAAAGCGAAAGCTAGGAGTCTCGCACATTTTACAGGAAAATTCAATCAAAATCTATGGTAAGTTTCATCAAAATTTGAGCGGCGAACTTTGAGTACTTCCTCTATTAACCTAACACACACAAACATCCTCCTATACGTCAGTCAACACCTTGTTTTGAACTCTCCAAAAACTCGATAACCAAATAAAAAAGACCTCATTAACAGTTCAAATATTAGCCAACACTCGCACTGCTCACCCACATTAACGCCGAGTGCCAAGATGCGGAAAGTGGAGTGGCGTTAAAAGTGCAACCCCTCCGGGGGCAGTAAAATCTGCCCTTTTATGGTTGGGGGTGTGGAATTCATGTTGGAATGGAAGCAGTAAACATAGTACTACGGGATAGAGAACGTTGTTTTTTCTCACTCGAACTTCCTCGAGGGTTTTCATACGAGAAAAGCGGCTAAAATCTGGGGAATAAAAGTGCAAGTGGCTGAAAGATTAACGGCCGGCCTTTCGGCCGCTAAGTCGTCGCTATGACGAACTTTGGGACTACAACACAAATTGAAGTGGAATACAGGCACAAAAATGAAGATTCCTGACAAGGGAAGGAAGGTTTTCAATGAGGCCAACAGAGCTAAATAAATCTGGCCATCAGATAAATACTATAGTAACTTTTTAAGACATATCTCAGCATCTTAGTTTTTGATGTCCATAAACTATCAAGATTTTTTGTTCTGAAGTTGTAAAAAATCTCCAATTTTTTGCGATTTTTGATAGTCCAACTCCAGGGTCTTACTCCACAAAAATTCAAAAATTTCCGTGCAGAAACAGAAAAGTTATGGGTCAAAACCTCGTAAAAAACATTGAATATCAGTCTGTCGGGAAAATAATGAGCACTCGAAAATCGCATCTTAGAGTCTATGAAGTGTCGTAAGTGCATGGTAAAAAAATGGGATCTTTGGAAATGTCGAGGGATTATCTTTTACAGAGCACAAGATAAAGCGAAACGCGTCTATAACAAACAATTTCAGAGGTCGCAAGGTTCAATGAAAGGCCAAAATTAACCTCCCTAGTGGTAATTTATTAGTCTGTCCGGAAAAAATTTGCACTCTTTCGCATCGAAAATCGCATCGCCGCTGAGAAAATAAAAAATAAATTGTGTCACGGTAAAATCAAATTTTTGTTTCACTTCAGCAACGCGATCGGCGCAGCGACATTGCGCTCATTATTTTTCCGACAAACTGATATCTCATTGTCGGAGGCTGTTGAAAAATGGGAGCTAACATTTACAGGGACTAACATAAAGCTGTCTCAAAAGCGGCATGAAAAAATTTCAAGGTGTATTGAGTGTTCCACTTGAAAAACTTTGCATTATAGCGAAATTCCACAAGAAAACTCTAGGATTTTTGCCAATATGGACCTCCCAACGCCTCAAAACCTTTGCCAAACCCAAACCCGTTGCCACAGCCCTCTCCCACGCCTTTTACCGGTCCAAAGCCCTCATTTGGCTCGAGGGTGAGAGCCGCGAAATCTATAAAATTGTCGGCTTTTTGCACTTGTAATGAACTGCAAAAAGCGAGTGTGGAGAGCGGGGAATGGGGCGAAGACACCAGAGATCAGAATGTTTCTTTCCCCTTCTCACCGCTCTCTCTCTCGGTTCTCAAAAACTCGTGGCGACAAGAAAAAAAAAGATTCTCCTGGGGACGGAAAACGGACCCGCTTTTTTCCTCTCGCGGAAAAATAAGTGAACACTGCCGGAGACAGAGAGCCGGGTCCTTCGTCTTGTCGCAAACGAAGCGAGAGAATGGAGATGGGAAGGACGGTTGCGTTGGCAGATCGCGCCGCACCGACGTAATGACCCTGCGGCCGCGAAAAGGAGATGCACTCTTTGTGCCGAGAAAATTGAACTTTTTGTGGGTGAAAGGAATATGTCTACAGGTTGATTCAAAAAAAAGTGGACACTTTTCTTTCTTCGATTTCTCTTGGCTTTGAACGTTTCTCGGAAAAAGGTGCACACGGCATGACACTACTACATTATGTGTACATATTCATTGCAAAAATTGTTCACTAGCTGCCAAAGTTGCCTACATATGGTTGCTTAAAGTTGCCGGGTCAGCGCACTCATTCCCGCGAGGAAATATGGAAAGTTTTCGCTCCTAAATG